ATATATATATATATATATATATATATATATATATATATATATATATAGTTTCAAAATATATTTATATATATAGTGTTTCATCATATATATATACATATATTTATGTGTGTCTGTATATATATATATATTTCCACCTCCTATACTAATATTATACTTATAACTATACCACACACAGCAGATATAACCATTCATATTGTTAACTGACTTTATTTAGCCTCAAATTCTTCTAGTGGCCAATCTTCTATTCTCACTGTCTGGAATAGTCACATTATCATCTGAACCACCTCATATCTATGCACTTGGTATTCCTCCTCTAGGTACTGTAGTCCCCGAGTGGGGCATAATTGCCTTATTCCATTCTTGACTCCAATGCTTCCTTCATCAAGAGGACACACGAGATCTCTCGGACCCAAATATACTGATTTATTGGGTCCACACTTTGAGTTTTAATGCTCTGTAATTTCCATCTTGAAATCACGCTTACTTTTGAATCTGTGACTTGTGAGCCAAGTCCAATGGACTAAAGATGATGCACCCACGCCATGGCACCCTGACACCTGTGCACTCTTCGTCTTGCATCTCCCACCTCTCAGCACTGGTTTTCAGCTTTGCTCCATAGCCTCTGCTTGGGGACCACTGCTATACTGCATCCACAGCACAGAGCCAGGACAAGGTTAGGTTGAGCATGGGAACCAAGCACGAAGACTGACAGGATTCAGCCGTCCACGCTAGGAAGTTCTGCATTCACCACAATAAAGCACATATCAAATGGATAGAAAATCACCCTGACAAATGAAACCAAGAGGGGGATGGAGAGATTGCTCAGTGGTTAAGAGCATTGGCTGTTCTTCCAGAGGTTCTGAGTTCAATTCCCAGCAACCACATGGTGGCTCAAAACCATCTGTAACTCTAAAGGGATCCAGTGCCCTCTCCGGGTATATGTGAAGACAGCTACAGTATACTCATATACATAAAATAAATAAATAAATTTAAAGGAAAAAAAACAAGAGGGAAAATGGATTTTTTTCCCAAGGAGTCTACATTTTTATTTGTAGGGGGTCCCATAATTTGTATGGCCTGATAAGTTCCTAAATCACGTTGTCATGACGTCATCTTTTATCTTCATCTTACTTTCCAACAGGAGTGTGGTATAGTGTGGTGTGTGGTGTGTGGTGTGATGTGTGGTGTGGTGTGTGGTGTGTGGTGTGTTGTGTGTGGTGTGTGGTGTGATGTGTGGTGTGGTGTGGTGTGGTGTGTGGTGTGTGGTATGGTGTGGTGTGGTGTGTGGTGTGGTGTGGTATGGTGTGTGGTATGATGTAGTGTGGTGTGGTGTGTGGTGTAGTGTGGTGTGGTGTGTGGTGTGTGGTGTG